GTCCCCGGTGCCGCTATTGGCTAGGGTGAGGGGAGCAGTTTGTGTATACCCTCCAGGTGCTGAGAAACCAATCTGGATACCAGAACAGTGTGTTCAGCCTGTAGAACAGACACAGAAATCTCAACATGAAGAACCTCATGATTCCGATGGTGCTGATGGTCCTTAGCCCTTGGGTCTACACAGAGCCTTCATGGAGCCTGGTTAAGAATCCTCCAATTTTGTTGCCAGTAAGTATTGAAAGCTCTGTGTTTCCTGCTGTCTTTGCCTCTAATTGGACTATTGGAACTGCAGCTAGTAATGTTAAACATGATGTGCAAAGCATAAATGTCACCATGAATTTATGTAATTCCTTATGCTTTGCTTGAAACGTTACTGCAGGATTCAATAATACCAATTTTTTTCTTTATTCTCTGGAATGGCTCGGGTGTGGGAGGGGAGGAGTTAAATTGTTCAGCTTTGAATTGCAGCCTATGTAATTGCTGGAGTCCTAATGTCACACATGCTGTGGTGGTGAGAATTCCTGCCTTTGTCATGATGCCGCTGGAACAGAATGCAGCAGAATTTCCCTTGCAACTCCATCGCAGCAGACAGGACCTTGGCATAACTGCTGCTGTAATTGCTGCCATTGCAACTTCGGCTGTTGCAGCCACTGCAGCTGGATTGGCTATTTCCCAGGGAGTGCAACAGGCTACTACTATTAATGCCCTGTCGGAAAGAGTGGCTGGTGCTTTGGACATCCAACAGACTTTAAATGGACAATTAGACAACATATGTTATGTGCCTATGGGTTTTCCGAAATATGTGTAACCCCTCATATTGTTGTGAATGCATCTGCTAAGGTTAAAGAATTGAATGATTACTTAAGAGGGCCATGGAATGCAACTTTTATAAATTTTACTTTGCAATTAGTTCATGTCATTGTTCGTATTAATGAAATTAGAGTCACTCCTATTGATGAACATGTTTGGTGGCAAGCTATGTCAAAAATTGCTGGATGGGTTACTAGGTGGTCAGGGTTCGTTTCCCTACTTATCCTGTGTATATTGGGTCTTGGGCTCGGATTCTTCATAGTGTACCGATGGCATCTCCAGTTTAGTCAAGGTCAATGGGCAACCAAGCAAGTTTTATTAGCTATGCAGCCCCCTGAATCTGCTCAGGTGTGGTTACATATGTTGGAAAGATAGTACCCAAAGACAGGCAACTCCTGTGCCATGATGACGACCTAAGACAGGGGATAGAAGGGCCTCCCCGAGGACGGGTAAGTCAGACAGGGTGCTACAGGTGACCTAAGACAGGGGCTATCTGTGTGCTTTAAAAAAGAAAAGGAAAGGACATGTTGGCAGCAGACGCTGAACAGGCCTTGTGCATAGCCTGTTTGCTTGCCCTAAGTTGCCTTAAGGTGCCCTTGTGTTCTTCCTCTTTTCCTGTGGTCAGTAAGTCACAGGATGTTTACAATATAGCTATTGCTGGAACATTGTTTCAAGAATCAGCTCTCTGCTGATTCGCTTGCGGTTTTCCTATTTGGCTGAGCTGCTGGGACGTGGATGGGAACCTGAGGACCGTACCCTGACCCCATGGAGAGTAGGAAGTAGCAGGGTATATAAGGATAGTCAATAAAGGAGCTCTTTTTGGATGATGAATCACGGTGTGTCCTGAGTGCTGCTTAACCTCGACGTCCCTCGCCAGTTCTTGGTCTCCGGCCATGCGGGTCGCAGCACCGGCCAAGCATTTGTAAGTAATATTAAGCCTCTGAGTGGTTATTCAGGAACTGGTGGGTGGGAGAGAACTGTCTGTTTACAACCGTGCTATACTGCCTTATGAGTAGGGCTGCCAGACTAAACAGAAGCAGCAGCGTTGGCATGAAAGACACGTATCTTTGAGCTGTTCCATATTGTTTGAGGTTCCTGGACTGCTGGGATGGAGCTGATCCTTTGTGGTAAGAGGAATCCTGCCTCTTACCATACAGAACTCCCCTGAGCTACACTCATTTTAGCAGTTAAGCTTCTTCCTAATGGTAATAGTATCCTCAACGTGACAGGATCTAGAAAGTCTCCAGGCATGTTTATGAGGGAGTTTCTGGACTGGGCTAATTGGGAAGACCCACCCTAAATGTGGGTGGCTCCAATGCGTGGGCTGGGACCCCAGAAAAGGAGACTTCGCGCTGAGCACCAGCCTCCATCTCTCCGATTCCCACTTGCAGATGCAAACGAGCCTCTGCCTTAGGCTTCTGCTGCCATGCCTTCTCGGCCACAGTGGGCTACACTCCTGAACTGTGGGTCAAACAGACCCATCATCCCTTAAGTGCTTTGTCAGGCATTTTGTCCAAGCAAGGATAGAGTCACTCATCCACCAGCCATCTGCCAAGCTACAGGATGTGACCGTGTACACCCTTTATACTCAGATAGCTCCAGCCTTCCTTCCTAACCCCATCGTCACAAGCCTCCTGCAGATGAACCTGGATCCGGTGGGTAATTTGCCAAGGCCACTCCTCTTCGCAGAGAAGAAAGGACAGATACTTTCTCACTAATATTCTGTCATTATCTAACACAGGATTTGGGGGGATTTTATTGAAGTTTTTTTTTTTTTTTTTTTTTTTTTTTACCATTTAGTTTATGCTTGTCACAGTCTGGTTAAGTCCAACAGCCACTGTGTTACCATAGAAACAGCTCAGATTCCACAGTCACCCACGGCTGTTTACCTGACTCATCACCGATCAGCTCTACTTTCTTAATTTCCTTCTCGGGGGCATGTGACCCCTCAGATGTGCACAGCACAGAGGGAGCGACGGAGATGGCTCATGCTCAGTGCTCTGTTTTCCTTGCCCCTGAGTCCAGGCTTAAAGGCCACCTCACTGGAGCTCAGAGGAAGGAGTACCTCCTCCATGTCACACAGTTCCACTGCTGGGGTTCTCAGACTCATATAGGGCTACACAACCACCAAGGTAAACAGCAAATGATGAACATGGTCACAGGGCTATAAAAGCAATACCCGGGTGCCACGGTAGGAAAAAGGGGTGAACACATAGAGGGGTCAGGGAAATTCGAGGCTCTAGTATTTAAATTGAGCGCCTCCTGATTTAAAAACAAGGGGGGGGGGCGGATATGGGTCAGAGAGAAGAGCCGATGAGAAAATTAACTTGACTTGGACAAGTTCGGGAAAATGAAGAAAGACACAACGGACTGAGGCTCAGCAAGGAAAGGAGAGCTGTGGTCAAGAGGCAGTGGAGGCTGGACCCATGCTGAGGTCAAGAGGCTAGACCCTTGCTGAGGTCAAGAGGCTAGACCCTTGCTGAGGTTGAAGCAAGAATTGGAGACATTATGTAGGAAGCATGCCTCAAGTTTCAGCATGGAAGGGAGGTAAAGTCAGGAACAGCATGAATTAGGAGCCTATTTAGGCAGGAGAGAGGGGGAGGGAGGGGAGAGGAGGAAGGGGGAAGGAGACTGAAGAAAGGGAGGTAAGGAGAAGGGAGGAGAGGGGAGGGAAATGTAGTAGAACATTATTTGAAGGGGTGTTACTTTTGCTTATGTGACCTTTGTTTAACTCTGAAGTTGTGTTGCTGTGCCTATCTAAAACACGTGATGGTCTAATAAAGAACTGGCCAATAGCAAGGCAGGAGAAAGGACAGGCAGGGCTGACAGGCAGAAAAAATATACAGAGTGAGAAATCTGGGTGGAGAAATATCTAAGATCTAGTAGCCAAAGGAGGAGGACTCCAGGGTCCAGCCACCCAGCTACACAGCAGGCCACAGAGTAAGAGTAAGATTTACAGAAGTAAGAGAATGGGAAAAGCCCAGAGGTAGAAGGCAGTTGGGATAGTTTAAGATAAGGCAAGCTGGCTAGAAACAAGCCAAGCTAAGGCCAGGCATTCATAATTAAAAATAAGCTTCTGTGGTGATTTATTTGGGAGCTGAGTGGCAGCCCTCCACACCCCCCCCCCAAAAAAAAGTAAAAAAACCAAACAACAACAGGGAAAGAAAAGAGAGGAGAGGAGGGAGGGGGGAGGGGTTCTAGCTCTCTGCAGCCTGCCCAGTTACAGCCCTGTGCTTCTTTTACTAGATGATAAGCCTTTTGAGGGAAGATCAAGGTCCTACAGACCTGTGGGTCAAGGGTCTGTCACAGGGTTCTGCACATAGGTTCTTAGCAAATGCAAGGTGAATGGAAGACAGACAGGCTTTTCATCATAGCATCTGAGGCTAGGGAATGGGGCTCTAACCACTCCAGACAGAGCAGACAGGCCTTGCCTAGACTTCTGAGTTGATGGCACAGAAGGCTGAGGGAAAACATCATTGCCTGTGTAGCTCATTCAGGCAGGGCACTGCTTTACATTTTCAAAGCTTTCCCTGGAGACTTTGAAATATTCTTTTAAACAGAATTAATTTCAGAACCATTACATCCCATGTATTCATTTAATTAATCACATATCCCACCATGTTTTTGTTTTATTTTTAAAACTAATGAACTTTAATTTTGAGAGTAGCATTAGGTTCATATCCCAATTAAGCAGAAAATTCTCATGTATCACCCCCCCCCCTGCCCCAAACCTCCCCACCAGCATCCCACACTAGTGTGGGCACTTGTGACTACCAACAAACCTGTAAAGGCTCACTGTCACCACCCAGGAGTTGTAATTTACCTTAGGGTTCACTCTGGGTGTTGTGTCTACCCACCACAGGGTTCTAAAGTACCATGTGTAGTTTGTACGATTATTTCCTATTCCCAGGTCAGCTTCCTTTGATTGATGCTCCATAATAAATATGCTTTCTGTTTTTTTTTTTTTTTTTTTTTTTTTTTTTTTTTTTTTTCCGAGACAGGGTTTCTCTGTGTAGTTTTGGTGCCTGTCCTGGAACTTGCTCCATAGACCAGGCTGGCCTCGAACTCACAGAGATCCACCTGGCTCTGCCATCCGAGTGCTGGGATTAAAGGTGTGTACCACCACCACCCGGCTGCTCCATAATATGTTAAGGGTACTTTGTCCCAAGAGGTGCAGCCTGTGGGCCTTACCTTTCTTTTCTCCTGTGAAGGGCACAAAGTCCTCCCTGTCTTTCTGTTCCAAAGCCTCCTTTTCCAGGTACATGAGGAGGTGCTCTCGGTCAAATGGGCCAGTGGCTGCTTTCTGGGTCTGGTCTTTCTGTCGGAACCCAGCTGGTAGCATTGCACTCTGACAAGACAGATATGAGATGAAGGGAAGACGTGTGCTGGGCCGGTTTTGTTATTTCTTTACTCTTTTGCACTTGCTGTTAAGTGGGAAAGTGTTGGGGGAGGGGCACCTATACCAGCTGAGGACAGCTCTAGGGACGTGTTATTCTAACCTCCTTTGTTAAAGGGAGGAAACCCAACCAGCTCAAGGGGCACAGCCTCTGGACCTTCTGCAGCCGCCTTCTAGAATATGGAGGGGAAGGTCTTTCTGTGTCCATCATGATCAGTGTTGGTCAGGTATGCATACAAGGGCTCTTAAGGCAGGAGTCTGGATGGCTACACTCACTTTCTTCTAAACTATCTCCTCCAAACACAACCAAGAGGTAAGGAAATATTATAGTATATGCCGTATCTGCCTGAGTAAGATTCATTTATTTGTCTTTTGGAGACACAGTCTCATGTAGCTCTGGCTGGCCTCAACCTTGCTATGTAACCGAGGCTGGCCTGGACTCCTGATGCTCCTGCCTCTACTCCTAAGTGCTGGGATTAAGAACATGTATCAACATGATCAACATGCCCGGGTCTTGTTCTAGTTATTTTTTTTCCTTTTTTTTTGGTTTTTGCCCAATAAAGTCTCACCACCTAGCACTGGCTATTCTGGAACTCACTATGTAGACCAGGCTAGCCTTGAACTCTCAGAGCTTCGCCTGCCTCTGCCTCCCAAGTATTGGGATTAAAGGAGTGTGCCACTATGCTTGGCTTTATTTTAGCTTTTTTAAGTCAAGGTCTCACTTTGTAGCCCATGCTGCCTTAGAACTCACTATGTTACTGAGGCTTGACCTTAACTCACAATCTTCCTCAGCCTCCCAAGTGCTGGGATGATTGACGTGTGGCATTACATGCCCCACCTGCTCTGATTAAGCCCCAAGTTCTTTCCTTACATGTATAAAAATATTATAATAAAATAAAAAAAATAAATTAAATATCCGAAGTGTCTGGTACAGCAGAATGTCATATAGTTTTATTTACTTACATCTTTCGAGTTAAATCACTATTTTGGATGCCTCCAATTTTAAGTTTAAGATAATGTCATTAGGGCTGAAGAAAATACTTGCTAAAGAAACACCATAATGAACTACCGAGCTTTTAAAAACTGACAAAAATATTTAAAAAAAAAAACTCCCCAGATTTACTTGGTGTTATGAGGATAATCATCTACACACTGTCATAGAATTTCAAGTTATTTGGATATCTGAACAAAAACAGTACCAGTTGTGGTAGCACATGCAATCCCAGTATGTTGGAGGCAGAGGTAGAACAATCAGAAATTCAAGGTTATCCTTGCATACACGATGAACTTGAAGCCAGTCCCTGCTACTCGAGACCATGAAGAGAAAAATATGATATAAAGCCAGGTATGGTGTTGCATGCTTATAGTTAACACACAGGAGGCCAGCTTGGGTTACATACTACATTCCAGCCAGCCTTAGCTATGTAGTGAGACTCCATCTTTAAAAAAAAAAAATTCTGGGCTGGTTGTGATGTCACATATATTTAATCCCAGCACTTGGGAGGCAGAGGAGGGTGGATCTCTATGAGTTTGAGACCAGCCTGGGCTACATAGTGAGTTTCAGGCCACACAGGGCTACACAGTGAGACCTGCCTTAAAAAAAAAAAAGTCTGGCTAGTGTGGTGGTTCATGCCTGTAATTCCAACACTTGGGAGGTAAAGACAGGAGGGATTCGAGGTCACCCTCGGCTATGTAGTGAGTGTGCAGCCCCCCTAGGCTACAAGACCCTGTCTCAATAAACAACAACAAAAGAGTCTAGAGCTGTAGCTTAGCTGGTGGAGCGCTTGCTTCGGCTACATAAAATCCCAGTGCTGTTAAAGTGTTAACACACTGATATCTGTAATCCCACCATGGGGAAGTGGAGGCAGGAAGATCAGGAGTGCAAGGTCGTAATCAGCTAAACAGTGAGTTCCGGACCGCCTGGAGTGCGTGAGATCCTATCTCAAAAAATAAAAAACAGGGGTTGGGGATTTAGCTCAGTGGTAGAGCGCTTATTTAGCAAGTGCAAGGCCCTGGGTTCAATCCTCAGCTCAAAAAAAAATTTATTAAGAAAAAAAAAAAAGGGCTGGAGAGATGGCTCAGAGGTTAAGAGCACCGACTGCTCTTCCAGAGGTCATAAGTTCAATTCCCAGCACCCACACAGTGGCTCACAACCATCTGTAATGAGATCTGGCACCCTCTTCTGTGTACATAATAAATAAATAAATCTTTTAAAAAAATAAATAAAAAATAAAAACAATGATAAAAACCAAAACCAAAAGAAACTATTACTACAGAGGTGTTTTCAACAGCACCTCAGACATTACCAGTGTGGGATCCTGTGCGGGTCACTTTCGTAAGTGTGCCTTCTAGTTATGAAAAGGAGCTAACACCATTCATTTCCCCCAAGGACTCTTGGGCCCAGCCAAGGATCTGACACTTGGAAAATACCTGGTTGAGGTTTGTTCTCATCGGTCCCCCAAGTCCTATGATAAACCAGACCATTCTTTCCCAACAGAAAACACTTTTCACCATCTACAGTGAACTAGTTTTTGAGAAACACACTTGTCATTTCTCACTGTGGTGGCCCTGGGGCTCGCCATGGACTTGTAAAAGTGGCTCAGCAGCCATGGGGCAGAGCCCAGAATTCTGCACAGGGGCTGCAGGCACTTTGGTGGCGATTGCTGCCCCCCTTTCTCCCGTGCTCTCATTAAGCACCCCATTCCAGTTCCACACCACAAACCTCGGGATCTAGGTCATCTAGAACATTTTCCAACTGTTTCAGTTCCTCTTCTGAGAGCTTGCCAAGAAGCTCGTCCTCATCGATGTTCTTGTATTTCTCCAGCTCCTTTTGAAAGGGGAGCGCCATGGCTTCGGAGAGGCACCTTCCTCGGGCACGTTCAAGTGGGCCAGCTTCCCCGGAACTTCACACTACCACTGTTAAAAGAGCAATACTGTCATCTCCTTACCATAAACTGTAAAATTAGTAATAGATTGTGCTATGCTGGCAATGGATTCTACCGCACAGACACTTCCTCGAGAAGGCAGCATTACCTTCACTTCCAGAGCAGAGTACAGCCCGCGATATTTGCACAGACAGCTGTATTTCAGTTATTTTTTTCCCTTTAGGGCAACCCTGTAAGGAAGCCTGCAAGATACCATCATCACTCAATTTTACAGACTATGACTGAGCTGAAGGTGACAGAGACCTAGCTATGGGATGTGTGCCTGGCTTCTGGTTCCCAGGGGAGTGAGTGCTTTTCCATTCTACTATAAGACTTCTCCCAGCTTCCCATTGAAAACCAGTGAAGAACAATGACTAATTGTATGGCAGTTGTAAGCAGCATACTTGTGCCCTTTCAGGGTTGAGAGTGCTGTGAAGAACACAGAATGGGATTCATTCAGGGAAGAGTTTAGAGGCTTGGTGTGAGAACACATTGTCCCATAACTCGTGCAATGAAACCAAGAGACGTTCTCAAGCCCTGACCCCATAGTTACTCTCTCTACTTCTCTTTCTCCTGTTTTATCAACTTCTATTTTTTTAAAATGATGTCTTTGAGAGTATTTTAACAGTATATTTTATTATTTGAAAGTTCTCACCTTTAAATAATGTCTTTTGATCATATCCATCCACTACTATAACCCTCCAACACTTTCTGTGCCCTGTACCCCATCTCCCTCCCAGCTTAATGTTCCCTTTCTATTATGGTTGTTATTGCTTATGTAGCCATTCTCCCTAATTTTTCTTTTTTTCTTTTTTTTTTTTTTTTTGGTTTTTCGAGACAGGGTTTCTCTGTGTAGCTTTGCGCCTTTCCTGGGACTCACTTGGTAGTCCAGGCTGGCCTCAAACTCACAGAGATCCGCCTGGCTCTGCCTCCCGAGTGCTGGGATTAAAGGCGTGCGCCACCACCGCCCAGCTTTTCTTTCTTTATATCCCTAAAACATTCTCTTTTAGTCCCCCATCCCTCTGAAATGCTTCATTCTTTTTTTTTTTTTTCAGAGCCGAGGACCAAACCCAGGGCCTTGCCCTTGCTGGACAAGCGCTCTACCACTGAGCTAAATCCCCAACCCCTTTTTCTTTTTCAAAACAGGGTTTCTCTGTGTAGCTTTGGAGCCTGTCCTGGAACTCACTCTGTAGACCAGGCTGGCCTCGAACTCACAGAGATCCACCTGCCTCTGCCTCCCGAGTGCTGGGATTAAAGGTGTGCGCCACTACCACCTGGCTTTGAAATGCTTCATTCTTTTTTTTTTTTTTTTCCTTCTGGAGCTGAGGACCGAACCCAGGGCCTTGCACTTGCTAGGCAAGCGCTCTACCACTGAGCTTCATTCTTAATGAAATGCTTCATTCTTAAACTTTCACACCAAATGCAAGTTTTACTCAGTCTCTTGCAGAAAATTCTACAGATCTTCCCTAGCAAGACAACTCTGCATTCAGTCCAGCCAGCTCTTTCAAGACAGTGTCAGCTGTCTACCTGCCATTACCAAGGGCAGTTCTAGAAAAGTTCCCTCAGGAAGGTCCTAGTTCACCGAGACAGTCACGCAAATGGCAATAATACCATGTAATAAGTTACAATAATGTCTGAAGTGGGAGTCACTCCAAAGAGAGATTGTCATTGACCCTTGAAGGAAGAGGTCCTAAGGAGAACATGGGCGTGAAAAGGCCATCTAGCATAGAGAAGAGCATAAGCAGAGAGACAGGAAAGTATGTGACGGGTTGGAGTGGCTTGGAGGAGGATTTGTGGAGTGGGGAAATGGGACATCTTCGAAGGGGCTTCTTTATGGGCTGCGCTAAGGGACCTACATCCCCAACCCCTAAATTAAGGGCCTGTCATTGGGAAAGCATTCTGAATTGTCCGAGTGGGCACAATTTACTCCAAAGTAGTAAGGTGACGGAAGAGGAAGGTAAGTGGCCATGGCACGGACAGAAGGTCAGAACGTCATGATTTTTGACTTTGGAGATGCAGGAAAGGCCATGAGAAGAGGACTGTGGGGACTCCGGAAGTTGGACTTTCCCCCTGCAGCCTTTAGAGAGCAGCAAGGTCCCACTGACACCAGCGAGACCCATTTGGGTCTCTAACTTCTGAAGCGGCAACACATTCATACTGTTTTAAGCAATTGAGTTTGCTCTTTGTCACAACAACACAGAAACTAATATACTCTCCCCCAACACTCTCATGTCCAGGGTAACTGTTCTAGAATAGTCCGCTCATCCTTCCATTTCTGTTCTCCACTCTGCTGTGGCCCAGGAAGTGTTGTCTACCTAGACTGCACCTGGGCTCCTGTCCCTCCTGGCTTCTGTCCTTCCTGGCTTCTGTTTGACCCACAGGAGGCAACCAGCGGCAAAGCAGGGGACACAGTGGCATGGGAGGAGGGGGTGTGTGGAGGGGGCGTTCCAGAAGAGCATGTCACCCCACAGGCCACCCTCTTTTGCTGGCTTTGGGCCTTGGGGTGGGAAAGGGTCTCTGTTATGACTCTTGCCGGATTTCTGCCTCCTTGTTTCTCTAAAGCTTCCTACGTCCTTGTAAATAGCCTCTTTATCGAAACCTTCTCAAGCTATTCGGTCTGAGCCCACCCTCTATTTCTTGTCGGGAAGTTGGCAAATGTGGCACCATTGCTTGGAATGTCCCGTTCTCTTTGTGCTCTGTTTCTGAGGCCTGGCTAAGATCCCAAGCTCTGCAGGACCACAGGACTTCAGAGTGAAGGGAGGCCTTTGGCCATTCAGCCCGGCTCTTGCATTTTCCTCATTACTCTCCTCTTGGTCTCTTTTCAGGTTCTCTTCCTTCGTCTTAAATACTGGTATTCTTCAAAGTCTTGTCTTAGAAATTATTTTCTCATCCCTCACCAAGGGTTCTTACTTACCTTGAAATTTTAATTATTTTAGTTTTTTTCTATTTTTTTTTTTTTTTGATTTTTCGAGACAGGGTTTCTCTGTGTAGCTTTGCGCCTCTCCTGGAACTCACTTTGTAGACCAGGCTGGCCTCGAACTCACAGAGATCCACCTGCCTCTGCCTCCCGAGTGCTGGGATTAAAGGTGTGCGCCACCACCGCCCGGCCTATTTTTTTTTTTATTAGATTTGTAATTTTAATTTTTCTCTATATTCTGCTAACTCTAAAAATCTGTATCTGGATCCTGAGGACCAGATCGGAGTTACCTAACCAAAAACCCTCCCTTGGCTAGATTCTTAAAATCTTCCCTCAAACCCTTAAAATATGTGAGAAGAGCTCTTGCCTGCCTGTTCCTCCTCTAGAATTTCAAGAAGTTGTTTCAGAAACCAGGGTGTCCTCCTTGTCATCTTTCCTTCACCTCCCTTCACCTCCTTTCTACCTACTAATCACCAAATCCTATCCTTGCAGAGTGATGAGGAGAACTCATCTACTTCTCCATCCACGCCCAGCCCTTGACCTGTGTAGTTTTGGTGCCTGTCCTGGATCTTACTCTGTAGACCAGGCTGGCCTCAAACTCACAGAGATCCGCCTGGCTCTGCCTCCCGAGTGCTGGGATTAAAGGCGTGTGCCACCGCCACCCGGCAGTGATTTTTTTTTTTTTGTACTAACTTTATTTCACTCTTTTAAGATCCCCCAGTGGCTTCTCACTGTCCCAAAGATAAAGTTCAAATTCATACTCTGGCCTCTGTAGTGCCATTTTTCTTTCTGTACTGCATTCCCAATGTCCTCCTGGACCACCCCCAATTCCTGGCTCATTTATGTGCCCTTTGCTCAAAGCCTAGGAAGCCTTACTCCAAGCCCACCCCTGCTGACTCTGCCACAGACTCATCTTCCAGTCTCTATGTGAGTTCCATTTCCTCCATCAGCTCAGACCCTGAGTCTCAAAATCTGGGTCACGTGCTGCCCCCGAGGTACTCCTCCGACTGCAATTTGGCTTCAGCACAATTACTTGCTGATCTCGGTGAGGGCGGGGACTATATAACTTTTATTCACCAATAAAATCTTGGCTCCCAGCACAGATCTTGACCCACAGCAGACACCCAATAATTACTGACGTCAAGGGAAGGACATGAGCTCAGAGTAGTGAGGCGGCCACGGGTCCAGAGATCTTTCCCCTGCGGCTATTTTCCCCATCACCCCCACCCCTCCTGGAGCCTGCTGAGATCACCCGAGCCCACGGAAGTTGCTCCTCTCCCTGAACTGACTTTGTCTGTAATGATGCTCACATTGAGACTGGAAGACCAGTCTGGCGGAGTCAGCGAGGGGGGGGGGGGGGGGGCTTTGAGTTACCCGTTTAACATTCATCACTTGTTATCTTTCACATTATGTTACTATACAGTTCTCTCTTCAGCTGCCACAACCCGCCTCCCCCCAGAAAACAAGGACCATATTCTAATTCTCGATGCTCCTGGGTTTCTCGAACTCAGGCATGGTCGTTCCACAAACGTCTGTTGAAAGCCTGCCTTTGCCAAACACGGCTGACACAGTGGACAAAAAGATGGTTCTCTGGGTGCTAACTGAGCCTATAATTCACAAGGGAAAGAGCATTAAGTAACAATTTAACCACCGATCGTGCCGGTCAAAGCCAAGTTCACATTCTAAAGCACGGGGTCAGGGGGTCTCAGAGCCAGAGGAGGAAAGAAGGTAGAATGACCTGAAGATCCAAGGAGAGCCTAGCTGTTACTATTGTTATAGTGGAGTGTTTGTTTTTGTTTTTTTGTTTGAGGCAGGGTCTCACACTGTAGCCTAGGCTAGTCGGGAATTCACTGTTTAGCCTAGGGCTGGCCTCAAACGTATTGCAATCCTTCTTCAGCCTCCTAAGTGTCGTGACTATAGGCATATATAACCAAGCCCAGCTATTTATCATTATTTATAATAATAATTATTTTATTATTTTTGAGACAGAGGCAAGAGGATTGATGCAAGTTTGAGGCCAGCCTGGTCTACATAGTAAGAGTCCCATCTCAAAACCAAACCAAACCCCTTAAACA